TAAAATACTTATGACCAATCAAACAATACAGACACCGGACCATCACAGAATATATCACACGCAGCTGATCATTATCCCACTGAACCTCTTTATCATTTATCTCACCTGTGTCTATTGCCTCATACACATAAAATCTCATCTGCGAATAAGATATAATATATACTATACATATTCTATCACGGCGTATGCACGAATGATATATCAAGACAAACTGTCCCCCTCCGCGTTGTCTGCCTCCCCCTTAATACTCCGAACATGACTAAAAATATCCATGAGCACAAACCACAACATATTACTCATAATGACAACATCTTATAGATACATAAAACTTACACTCAGAACTATATAAATCCCGACAAAAATATCTAATACGATGAACCTATACATGCACAAATTAGACATATTGCAAAAATTTGATATACCTGCAGAATAAATATATCATCAAATAACACACTAGGATATAAACAACACATTATTTCCACACCTATAGACACTAGTATTAAATAAATCAACAAGACACGACGCACAGCCATTCAGACAACTATATTCATTAATATTATAGCATAGCTATAATCCACTTCATAATTCCCCAACATACATCCCCAGCCTTTTTGATATATTACACACACCACCCAACTTGAATATAATAAAATTAAATAAATATATATATTAATAAATATATATCACATAAAAAGTACCATAACACACTCTCGCTCTCTCAAATCTGTCCTTTCTAGCTACATACAAATACAGACTGGCTATAAGCTCGCCTCCCCGCTCTGTTCTCTACTAGATAATACTACCTACGACACGATAGATAACACCCTCAGACCGAGACGAGACTATACAAACAGAATAGCTACACAATTAGATCAGAGACACCATACTGAATAAACGACTCGGACCTTACATCAAAACCACTAGCACCACAGCTTCCAACGAGACCTAACACGCCTAATATATCGACGCCACCATAAAAAAGCCTCTGCAGAACCGCACTCACCAACTCTCGCTACTAAGCGACAAGACCTATACCCACACGAAGAGGCTGCCTTCTCGTATACAATAAAAAAAAAGCCCCACTCCAGTCCTTTCCTCTATCAATTAGAGTACTTATCATATAACCTACGAAGCCATATTCTATCCACCTAGGGAATATCACACATAGAAGACACAAGATACAATATATGCATAGTCAGATACAGGAGAGCAAAACACAGACACTACAGAAGGAGACACCCTTAGATGAAGATAGAACTAAAATATGCAACACTGACAATCACAACTGAATCACACACAACGCCCAGAAGATGTAACTCAGACAACAAATGACTACTCTGCTCATAAAAACAACAACATAGCGTATATGAGTCAACACTAATAAATCACAACATCAATATATAGAGACCATCATGACACTCTATAGACAATAATCATGATACACTGTGTTCTTACCTGTTTTCAGAAAAAAGACCAATATCAAAATTTAAAAAATACACAATAGGAACATTAAAAAAAAAAAAAATCTAATTATCATAATAAGATCACAACCCATATTTATCAAATCCACACCCAGTAATATAATGAACGGTATTAATAATAGCATACACACACTTATCTACATCCACTTTAACACCATTAACATTTCATATAAGCAGCCGTATTATATATCACCATGGATCGATAGCACTATTTTGTTTAGACGATAGTAACAACTATAAAAAAAAACACTGGATACCAATACTGTACCAACCTACCAAAAAAAACCAGAAAATGTAAATATTGCTGCAGAAACATATATACATAACGGGCTAGCATAAGAACCACTAAAATAAACTATCAAGATCAATAATGATAAGAGGTAAACTATAAAAAATTCATCTAAAACCATTCATCGGTTGTAAGTCTTGCACCTTGATTGTATGGACGAGTTTCAGTACAGAAGGCTTTACCTATGGGAAAAAATGAAAAATTCTTTAAACATTTCAAGCCGATTCCCCAAAAAGAAAAGTAAGAAATGGAGAAAGTATAAAATAAAATAATTTCTTCATATCTATTCTTTTCATACATAGCCTATGCAAAATGATTCATGCAAAAAGGCTTAAACAAATGATATTCAGCAGTGTTAGTTTACTTATCACAACATATTCCAACAACAAAAGAAGTTACTATAAAATAATTTTTTTTATAGAATATCTACTTACTCAGATGACCCATGTCATGCAGAGCTCTAATAACACCTAAAGCAGTTCCATAGCCAGCAGTTGCAAGTGATCCAGTGTTGCAGTGAGTAATCACTTGGACACTATTCCCTTCATTACCACTAATAATGGCTTCTGCACCAAACTTGCCAATGTTCTTATTTGTGGTGACATCATCCTCTAACATTTTCTCACACCATGATATTATTCTGAAATACAATAAACATATCCCTTCAGGAAGAAATCAACGTTAACATAAATATGGTGAAGGTATATAGGCTATAGATTGATCGAGTCAATTTTCAACATTTTTGTTACTAGAATAATACAATTTGTTTGAAAGAGTTCATTTTTAAAGAAAAGTAAGGCAAATGTATATCATATTGGAAAATCTACTTTGTTTGAAGCACTTAACAGAGACATTGATTATATGAGAAAAGAATGCTGCTTTCTGTAAACTGTAGCTATAATGAAAGAATAATTACTTGTGCATAACATCTCCCATAAACTATTAAATCTAAAATACTGTTCAAACCTACAACAGTGGTTGTAATTAAAAAGAAAAAAAAATGATAAGCACAATATTCCTTGCAAGATACAAATTATAAGCATATACCAAGCTATATGTTCATTAGTATACATACAACGAAAATAGATGATCAAAAACATGATACTAACGATTTTACCATATCCTGTAATGAGATGCCACCCTCACACAAATTCTTGCTCACAACTGTAAGTTCTTCGGCTGCTTTTTTCATATTCACGGCTGTTGGTCTTGCACTTACTAAATAGTCAAGCTTTGATGATACATCTTTCTGTAGTTGTGCCTTTTTTTATAGGATGATTCAGTCTCAGCTAACTCAGCTGCAAGACTAAGACATCCCACAATTGCTATTGCTGGAGCTCCACGCACCTAAAAGGAAAGTTTTTCCATGATAATTATTGTACATTTAAATAGTTTTACTTGATTATTCATTTAATATCAATTTACAGTAATTTTGTATAGCATGGATAATATATAGTAGAATGAATATTACAACTAATGCACCCATCCATGGTAAAACTAGAAACATTACTAATATTTGTTCAAATGTAAGGGATGCTGGAACTGATTCATAAAATTCAGAAACAAAAAATTTAAAAATTGAATACAGACGACACCTACCTAATCTATTTTTCACAATTCTATCTTCTCTTGTGACTACAGTATGCCTTACTTATGCACCAATATATCAAAGGGGGTAAGTAAAATTCTGACCCCATACACATATACATCCTGTTCACAGATACCTACTGTTAACATTACTGAGGACGAAATACAAAGATAGAGGGAAATGGAGAATAAGAAATAGAAATATAAACAACACAGGTACAGTTGCTGCAGCCTCATATCTACCATGAAATGATGAAAATATTTGGTGCATATCACTCCAAAGTCCACAACACCCTCACACAACCAGAGTTCTTGATGTTGTGTTTTCTATAAGTTGGCACAAAGTGCTAATAAAGGGGGGTGCAGGGAATAAATAGAAGGTGAGAAATATTAGGTTTGGATTTCTGGGTTCACATGATACCCGAACGTTTAGGAATGTGCAAATAAACTGTTGGGTAGAGGAAATAAATAAAATGTTTGGTTTCAGGATTTTATCTCTGGAATGTGCATTGCTCTCATTAATAAATACCATATTTCACATTTTGCACAGCACAGTTACTCTACCATAATTTATGCCTCTCTCCGTTCTCTGTCTGTTATAAATGGTGTGAAAATAGTAAATATTTCAACGAAAATCACAAAATATAAAATAAAATATTGAATACCTGTAGCATACTTCAAACTAATTAGACTTTAAAAAGAGTAATACATTTTATTAGCTAAATAGTACAGCTAGATAAAATCACCAAAAACTCTAATTATGTGGTCTTATATAATAGTTATTATGAAATATAACTTACTGACCAGTGAATAATAAGAATATTACATGCAGTTTATTCAAATTTTATTCAATTATAATGACCTTCATCTGTTGTTAATGGGTTAAGTTTGTTGAGCAAAAATTGCATTTATGTATAAACATTACAAATTATTATTCAGTACATGTCATTGCAATTTACTTGTACCTTTACTTGTTTCATATTTCATTATCATTCCCTTGTTCATCTGTATATCTCAGAAAAATCCATGTTGTCAGTTTACAGCTCCCTCGAACTCCTTATCTGTATAATCTGATATGCCATCATAAGCGAAGGTATTAATAGTACCATGTGGCAGTGGCGATTCATTGTACATTGGGGTAGCATATCTTTTTAGCAAATAATTAATATCCGAAGTAATCTCATCATGGGCAGTTCATGGCGAAAATTACGCCGCTAGCTATTGTTAGCATCAGTTTCGCGAATTATTAAGCTTGAAAAACTAGTGTGCAATACTTGGTTCGTTACAAGGTATCGGAATCAAGTTCTAATACTGAGCTGCTTCATGAAAACAAATGTCATTTCCAAACTAACAAGAAAAAAACCGTTTTCTCGCGACTGCCACGGTCGATCCCCATTCGAGGGCAGGCAGGAAGCTCCACCCACCTGCATCTTGTTTATAACTTGCCATCCGTCTTCAACATTTTTGACATCAATATACTCGGTTTCCTTGGGAAGTTTCAGCTGATCTAAGATTTGGAGCTTGTGGTTTTCCCAGCGTATAGCCTGCAGGGTCATCGTCTCAAACTTTTCTTGACTTCCTTCTTCCGCGGTGAGCCTATCCCGGCAGTGGCAGCGGCACTACTGTAGGTACTCTTACACACGCCGGGGCAGTCGCTGTTGCCATGAGCAGGCACTGGTCACAGGTATGACACTCTATTGTTGCTTTCATATGTCGATTCATATAATATCCATTATTCGAGAGAAAAAACCCTGTGTCTAGCCATAGTAGAACGATCTGTCATTGGCAGTTTTAAAATATTTTCCAGAAGTATTACCAATTCTTTCGTTTATTTTAGTATGGAAGCCCTTAGATGTGAGCGTGGAAGTGCATTATAAAAATAAAATGATAATAGTTCTTTAATATTAATGTAGGAACTTTGTCTGTATAAATCAGAGAGAGTTTGGAGCACGTTAAACATGTGACATTAATTTGTCGTTGTGCTGAGTGGCTGGTTCTGAATAATTAGTCTGACAGAACTAATGTACTCTCAGTAAAGTATTGTGCTTCCAAAGCTTATCGTTGAATTGGTTGAAATATCAAGCATTTTAAATGTTAGATTTGGCAGTATATTCGGTACTATTATCTTCTGAATTTACACGTGACTACTCATGCTAAATTGTGATGACGATAACTACCACAATTCTCATATATTTTTTATTGATATTTATGGTTATTATTCTCAACGTTTTGATTACTAACCTAATTTGATTAAATAGTTTCGAATGCTGCTGTTATTTTTATTTGTTTTACTTTTATCATTATCATAACCCGTCGAGATATGAAACCTGTCACGTGTTGTATCATAAATGTTTTTGTTAACATCATTAAATGGTTTTGTTTTTAATAATCGTGTCCATTACTGTTGCAATAACGGCCTTATGTTCATACTAAAGTTTCGTGTTCTTAATATGAAATCGATATTTGCACTGTAATAAATATTATTACGTTCACATTTATCATTACTTTGATTAATTATTGTTGGTGTTTTATTATTATTATTATTATTATTATTATTATTATTATTATTATTATTATTATTATTATTATTATTATTATTATTATTATTATTATCATCATCATCATCACCATCATCATCAACATCATTATCATTATTTTCAAATGTAATTTTTATCATCACCATAGTCTTTGTCATTATCATTATTGTTATTGATACTGTTATTAATATTGTTGTTGCTGTTATTGTTATCATTATTATTATTATTGTTGTTTTTTCTTATCAATAGGTTTTTTTCTATTATCAGCATTGTAGTATTATCTTTATTATTACCATATTATTAGTTATTATTATTATTATCATCATCATTGTCGTTGTCCTTACATTCATTATATTATTATTAGCAGTAGTAGAAGTAGTAACAATAGTAGTAGTGTCAGTCGTAGAAGTAGTATGATTTTATTACTTTTGTGATTATTGTTCTGTTGATTAATATCATCATTGCTACAAGCGTGACCCGTGGAAATTCCATGGAACAGAAAATAGAATTAAAAGGTATTTTTTCTCCCTCTTTCACCATCCTGTCTTTCGCTTACCCTCTCCCTTTTCATTTCCTCTCTCTCTACGCATTTTTTTTTTTCTCCTGCTCTGCCATCTCCACACTCCCAAATCTCCCTTAACTTCACTTCCCTTCTCCCATTCTAATCTCTACATCTGCCACTTTCCACTTCCAACTCAACTCCCTCTCCTCCCTTCCCTCCCTCTCCCATCTCCCCTTTCTCCCTTCCCACTCCCTTTCCCTTTTTCCCGTCGTTTCCCCTTCCCATCTCCATTCTCTCTTCAATTCCCTCCTATTCTACCTTCCTTGTTGATCCCACCACCCCCAACATCAACAATAATTAGCATTATTGTTGATGTTATTATTTTCTATTGTTGACTTCACTGTTATTATTCGTTATTATAATTATTATTAATGTTGTTACTGTTATTAAATTTGGTAGTTATTTTTATCGTTATTATTATTTTTAGTATCATTATCATTGTTACCTCCACCAAGGTTATGTTTTTGGGAGCGTTGGTCAGTTTGTTGGTTAGCAGGATGACTCTAGAAGCTATGAACAGATTTTTATGATATTATTGCCAGAAGTTTCTTAGCCCAACGTAGATAGCATTAATTAAATTTTGGTTATGATCCGGGTCCAGGAGGATTCATTATTATTGCGAGATAAGGAAACAAGGACGTCACCAGTGAACGTGAGAAAGAGTTGATTTTCGTGTAATCTTTCTTTCTTCGTGGATCCTATTGCTCTGGCGGTGGTATGCGGTCTGCAACATAACAGAAATAAGTGTTTGTTGGTACTCGTGTATTAAGACTCAAATGTTAACGCTCCATGACACCCTATTTCAGGAATAACCGCAAGTACACTTTGGAAGACATAACAAGGCCTACCTCCCCCCCCCCCCTTCCCCTGCTTAGGTTGTCTGACTCAGTGCTCAAAGACGCGTCATACCAAAGTCCATGCAAGTCTGTTATGGCTAGAGTCAAACCAGTCTTTTTCAGATTGTGTAAACGAAACGAGTAAACGTGTCAATCCATGTGAAGTAACGGTGAACAGTCTGATAATTTTAAGAGTAGTTTTCCTTTACTATCATAATTTTGAGTTGTGGAATTACTGGTCTAGTCAGTGACAGGGATTGTGCGATTTTGTAATTCAATCATTACATTCAAGATTAATTTAGTTTCGGTAAAACTAATTGTTGGTGTTTAGGACCTGGATATACCAGTATGTAAATATGAGAACATTATAACCTCTCCGATCGGGATTCGATCCCTCGCCGCCAATGCACGTAAATATGTATGTAAATATGTATGTTCAGGACCGGCGTCAGGCGGCTTGGGCCCCGGGGCAAAGAGCAGGGCCGGACCCTCAGGGCCACATCTTTTTAGGTGGAAAACGCCTTTCTCAAATAGGAAACGCCCTCTTTTTCCTTAAACATTAATGTTAATATAAACCGTATGTTACTCGACCTTACAATCAAGAATATGTTACTAATACCACATAACTTGAAAAATATCACTAGTTTGGCAGAAGATTGGCATTCTTTTAACCACTTCCTTAATTTCATTTTATCGATAATAGCAAAAACTTGTTAACGTTAACTGTTGTAACGTTGTTTTAATATAAATACACCCTATAAATTTGCTGAATTAGTTGTTCTTAGGCTCAAATAAGCGACTACTGTAAATTTTTACGGACACTTTTTACGGGCCCCGGGGTCGTTGGCCCGGTTACCCCCCCCCCCCCTTGTCGGCGGTCCTGTGTATGGCATATGTTGAGATAAAAGAGGGCCGGAAGAACTGACACCCCAAAATACAGAAGCAGCCACCTGCCCGGGACAGGAGTCGCTGGACAAAAGGACGTCTCGCCAGACAGATAAGAGAGACCAGAGAGACAGGAGAACAAGAGCAGACACAGAACAAGGCAGGTCACCCTCCGCCCTCGGCACTCGGGTCATGGGTGTCTCGGGGGGTCACACTTCTATCTCCCCCAATAAACCAGCAAGCCAAGACCCCTTTCATTCGCCTGCTCCACGCCCCCCAACATATTCACATCTGGTGTGAAAAAGCTGGGGAGGGGAGGCGTTGAGTATATATGTTGTGTGTGTGTGTGTGTGTGTGTGTGTGTGTGTGTGTGTGTGTGTGTGTGTGTGTGTGTGTGTGTGTGTGTGTGTGTACATGTACATGTACACACACACACACAACACACACACACACACACACACACACACACACACACACACACATATATATATATATATATTATATATATATATATATATATATATATATATATATATACATAGTGCATATGTGTGTGTTTATGATCGAAGTCTGATAACCGCAATTAATTTTGGCCAAGAGTGATTTTCCAATTGTGAGCCCGTTTTGTCTTCGTGTGTTTCCATCCATATGGTATGTGATATCCATTGTAAATAGATGCTTCTCCTTAACGACATTATTATTAGTCCAAGTATGACGCATTATTTCCTTCGTGGCGTCCATAATTAAAAAGATAATGCTTCCGTCATTAGTGTGCCTCATAGCCTCCTTCCCTTCGCTATTGTGTATCTAATATAACCTACTGTTTCGTTGTGAATCTGAATCCGGGTCTGTTATCAACTCAGTGCGTGGGTGTTTGCAAGTCTACCGGCCGGTTTTTTGTTAGAATTGTGCGAGGCCCGACCCAAAGAATATGCGTATACGTGACATGCATAAATAAAGAAATAAATGCATATTTATCAGTCTAGACATGTATATCAACCAGGCAAATAGATGGTTAAATGTATGTCTATCAGATATATAGACAGGTAGGCCTTTATTTCTGCATCTGTGTTTATGAAAATTCATTGGGTCGGGCCTGACATAATTTTAACAAACTGGCCTTAACAAATCTGTGTTTGTAGTTCTGTTCGCTCCAGCGAGATTCCCGGTCTCAATTCTTCTATCTTTTTTTAACGGTACAATCTTTTCTGAATCATCTGTTCGGTATTGTTTATCGCCGAAAGTCAGTTACCTCTAACACAAGTTCTTGCAATTTAAGGAGATCCACGCTGTACACACATGTACACACCGTGCATGTGTATATTATTGTTTTTTCTTCTATGGTTTCCGAGTTTTATAACGCCAATGTTTTTTTTTTTTTTTTTAATTGTTCAAGTTTTAGAGAACTGTGACAAAAATTGGAAACCTTCTTGTTGTTTACTTGTGTTCTCTGCAGAATTCATACACTTAAATGCGAAGAATCATAAACATATATATAATTAGATGGAAGTCGTGCTCTCCCATCCGAGTCTAGATAATTAGATGGAAGTCGTGTTATTATTCTTGTCATCCGTATAGCTAATCGAGTCTAGGAATTTTGCAATCTTGTAGAACAGAAGTGCAGTAAGGAATGTCAAAGCCGTTTTACCACAGGCTGAACACTAACAAAGGGAAATTAAACTCACACATACAGTAATGTCCAAAGAATTTAGGAAACTTCTCCGATGTTCACTGGGAAGATATTAGTCATAGTAAGAATCCCGGTGTTAACCTTGCAGTCTCTTTCTCTTATGCCGTTATTGGCAGATTTTCTATTGATGTTATTTTTTCCACTTGACATTAATTATATTACTCATCCAATGTAAAAAAAAAAAAAAAAAAAAAGAAAAAAAAAAAAAGGAATTACTCCATGCGTATTAATTCAATTGGTTCCACTGATCTCACCGTTAATTTTAAAAATGTAAATTGAATTCCCCAGACGTGTTTTAAAAACGATTTGCCACTGATAAATCCGTTAACACAACGAAGCAAAATATACGTAATAATTATGTGCTTCCTTCAAGTACAGAGGTTGTTCACCTGGGGGCGTGTACCCGTAGGAAAAGTCGGAATTTCAGTCATCATAATTACGTTTCTCATGACATGATGTGTTGTTTATTAATGAGTGTTGCTTATATCATTATTATCAAGGTAGGTATTGTTATCATTAGTTTGCTCATCATGATTAGCATTAGTAGTAATAATATTTTATATACAATATAATTTTGCAACAATTTATTATCATTGTTGTTGTTATTGTTGTTTCTTAGCACTATCATTATTATTTTAATGTTACTATTGTTATTATTATTATTATTATCATTATCATTATTATTGTTGTTGTCGTTGTTAATATTATTATTATTACCGTTGTTATATATTTATTATTATTATTGCTATTATTATTATTATCATCATCATTGTTATTATTATTATTTTCAACAGCAGCGGCAACATTATCACCATCATCACCATTACTATTATTATTGTTATGATTATTGCTATTATTGCTGTTGTTATTGTTGTTGTTGTTACTGTTAGTGTTATCATAATCGTTGTTGTTATCATCGTTTTCTTTATCATCATCACTATTGTTATGATTGTAATGATAATTATTGTTGTAATGATAATGATGGTAATGATAGTAATAATGATAATGATTATCATCATTATATATATTATCATTATTGTTATTATTATATTATTTATATTGTTATTGTTATCATTTTTACCATCATAATCATTATTATTATTATTATTGCTATTGCTATTATTACTATTTTATTATTATTATTATTATTATTATTTATATTATTATTATTATTATTATTATTATTATTATTATTATTATTATTATTATTATTATTATTATTATTATTATTATTATCATCATCATTATTATCATTATTATTTTTGCAACTACAGTTACTACTACTAACTACTACTACTGCTACTACTACTAACATTATTACTACTATTACTATTACTACTGCTACTACTACTACTGCTATTACTATTACTATTACTATTACTATACTACTACCACCTGCTACACTACTTCTACTATTATTACTATTAATGATACTACTACTACTACTTCTACTACTACTTCTACTACTGACACCATTAGTACTATCATCATAGTTTTATTAAAATTATTAGCAATTTAACTGCCATCACAAATTTGAAATTCCCGCCAAAGGAACACCTTGTCGGAAATAAAATTAATTACATTATATATCAAAACTAATTTAAAACTACAAATGACATTAGTTAAACATCAACGAATAGGTGATTAGGTGGATCGTAGGAGATGAATCCAAAATTAACGAAAATGCTACACCCTGCAGACGACGCCAAACAGCTGAGTGGGAAATGACAACAACAAACATGGTTGGCGAAGTGGACCCGTCATGCAATCCCGTAGATTTAATGGCGCAGGTGAGTTATTTTCGTTTTCCTTAGTGAGTCCAATCAATACTTTTGCTGAAAAGCTACCTATGAGTGAGATTTAATAGGATATAGAGCTCCTGGTCAAGAGAGTTGAGGATTTGTGAAACGAGTTCTCGTGGGAGAGGGACTCGGGTGAGCGCACACGCCCATGCTAATACTATCATAATAAGATCATGTGGTACTATTTCCGCTGTTTGCGCTATAAAAGATATATAAAGCGGCGATTTCTATTTCTTGGAAGTATATAGTACAGTTTAAATATCGCTTTTACCTTTATAATTCACAATATCATTGGCTTCCATTGGATCTTAGTGTGACATCCAGTGATACTACTTTTAGTTTCTGGATAGCAATTTGTCACTGTACTTTGGGTTTCGAGCTTCTTTAGTGTTTTTTAAAGACATTTTTGTATACAAAGTGATTTTTCATTTTCATATCTTGAGAAACTGAAAAGGGAAAGATTGTTTGTTTTGTGAAGGAAATTAATTAACTAACATATTTAATATGAAGAATTGCTTTCTTCAAAATAATTCAATGGATTGCTCAGTTTACTTCATATCAGAGTTTCTTCACATTTCATTGTAGAAGATTCCAAAGGAGAGGATTAGATATATGCTAGTTTTGTTAAGAATTAATGATATTGAGCTATTTTTTTGTCAACTATCTGTATATCACAAAATTGACCAAACTTTTAATATTCCCAATATCCCCAGTCATTGTTCGAGAAGTTAAGCCAACTCTGTTGTCTTCAGCAGTAAATAATAACCTGCTGCATGTAGAGGGCCTAAACTACCGAGTTGACTAAAGTACAGATTCAAGTGGTAGTTTGAATGGTCTTGAGGTGCTAATTCACAAATTTTAGTTGTTAGTTGCTATGTTTTCCTATTCCTAGGAACTTTATTTACTGTATTATGATAAAGTAAGTTTCTATATATATATGTTTTTGGTGTATGAAGCTGTATAGCACACGATTTTCCAGCATTATTTAGTGTACTCTGAAGAAAATTGTCAAAGCCACATAGTGTCACAATACAATGTTAATTCCTGGGCTCAGGTCAGAAACTTTGCCATCCAGTTAACAAGTTGATAGGCTGTCAAGAAGGCTCAAGATTTTTAGGTGTTACAAATGATTTAAGGCTTATTATTGGTTATGGTAATCTTATTAACCCATCATTGCCATCAGAAAATGTTGTGTTTGCTTTAGTATTGTTTTGTGAAATTTCTCAGCACATAAATGGCTCTGCAAGCTCTTAGCCACAAAGGACTCAATTAGTAGACCTCATGACCTCACCCAATTCCACCTTTCCTTGAGTCTGTGGGAATATTGTGTTTTTTTCTTTAATAATGCTTTCAGCATCAACTCTTGTCATATTTATTATAGACATCATAATCATTTTGTGTCATCTGGGCCTGCAGCCAGATTTACCCTTGATGGCATGTTCATGTCACCCCCCCTCAAGTCAAATTTTTTCATGACGTGATGGTCAAGTTCATCCAGATCAAAGTGGTTAATTTGCTTTGAAAGTTTTGTATGCATCAATTATTTGGGTTTAGTCTTGATTTTGCAATACATATTTTATTGGAATACCATATATATATATATATATATATATATATATATATATATATATATATATATATATATATATATATATATAGCGGCATAAATAATTTTTTAGGTAGTGAGGCTAAAAAAAGGCTTTAACCCTACTTTTGAAGGTCTCTTTCTCTTCATCGTATGTATCCAGGACCAAACAACTTCATTCTCGTGTGAGGGGATGGTCTACCATGACAGGAAAAGATATCATCCCAGTATGAATGGGTTGAAAAGTTTTGGATTGTCTTTTTAAAAATCTAAATTGTAAATTGTTTTTTGTCAGTTCCTATTAGCTGATGAAGTCTCTAAAAAAATTGCATTCTCTTTTTCAGGATGCCTGCAACCCAAGTGGTATGTATGGTGTCGAGAGAGAAACAGACGATGCTGCTGGGAGCATTCAGAATTCAGAACCTAGCAATCGGCCCACAAATGACTCAGATTTTTCTTCATTTGATATTGTTAAAGCAACACAGGTAGGCATAATTTGGAGTGAAGTTGATGGTGTAACTTGCATTTCTTATGATGAGTATTTTTATTGTATGGGTGATTATATGCTTTAGAAGAAAGATTCATGACATTTATTTCATTATGATGAAATATTTTTATATACTGATTTGCTTTTCCTTCAGCTCAATGAAAGTTAAACAAGAAATATTTCTACATTATTATGTTAGATTTTGATGTTGTATTTCTTTTTGTGTGTTGCTATATTTGGAAATATTTTTCAGTATGGAGCTTTGGAGAGATGTAAGGAGTTGATTGAAGGCGGTTATGATATAAATAAACGAGACAATGAAAATGTCACACTCCTACATTGGGCATCAATCAACAACAGAAGAGATATTGTGAGGTATGATGATGTTAAACAGTTTATTCTTAGATTAAATGAGTGTAGAGAGCAATATGTGAACATGCACGAAAACAAAAAAAATGATCATGTCATGCTGATTTCAGATACTACATATCTAAAGGAGCAATAGTGGATGCCATAGGTGGGGAGCTTATGTCTACACCTCTGCACTGGGCAACAAGGTAAGACGTGTATTTTGGACACTCACATTATAATGACATTGCTTGTTAATTATAAAGAACAAACAAACTAATATGGATGTAATTTTTCTAAGGTGAATTGTATCAATTATTTTTCACAGACAAGGCCACCTAGGTATGGTTGTTTTACTTATGAAATATGGGGCTGATTCATCTATGCGTGATGGTGAAGGCTGCTCCTGCATACACTTGGCAGCTCAGTTTGGTCATACAGCTATTGTTGCTTACCTGGTAGCAAAGGGCGCCAATGTGAATCTCATGGACAAGAATGGAATGACGCCTCTCATGTGGAGTGCATACAGAGTTACCAGGTCAGCCTTTTAGGTTGATTTATTGTGATTTATTTTTAGTGAATATATTTTTTGCACATAGTGGTAAGAAAACTTCCAATAGGGTATATTTCAATATGTGGTTCATATATTTTGGTTTTGTACAGAGTTGTGCACAGTAGTTGTAACTCATCAAATGAGATATAAATTTGATAAAACATATATTTTGTTCTTTCATTTATTAAATGTATGTTTTAATATATAATTTGTTTTTATAAAACTCCAGCCTGGATCCCACAAGACTGCTTCTGACTTTTGGAGCTAGTACTTCTATGGCAGACCGTTTACATGGTAACACAGCATTGCACTGGGCAGTAATAGCTAAAAATCACATGGCAGTCAGTGTATTAGTTAACCATGGGGCCAATGTTGATATTGCAAATTCTCAGGTAAGATGAAATTTATTTTCAGATATAACATTACCTTATTCTTGTAAGATAAATTGTACAGCATCTTTTCATGTACAGTATATAGTACCTTCATATATTCTGATATTTCAGTATTAGATCATGAAGTTGATGTGGGGTGCATTTTAACGCAACTAATATTACTTTAATATTTTCCATATTACTCCTAAAGGGTGAATCAGCATACAGCCTGATAATGAAGAGAAAAACACAGTGGTTGGATAAGAAAGTGCTAGATAAACTGCAAGAAATGCAGAAATCATCTAGAAATATCTGCTATCGAATTTCCAGTGATAAGGTTAGTATTTATTACAGTAAAGAGTATATATTTGTTTACATATTTTTTAGACATTCATGATTTGAGATTTAATACTTGTTTGATTATAAAATATTTCATATATGAAAGACAATTTATAAATCTTAACTTCAACAGAGTCTCCGCTACTGGACGATGATCAGCACACCATTTATTGTGTTTTACATTGTTGGGCTTGTGTTACAACTGGACATGCTCTATCTTCTGAAGATTGCCCTTTTCATGACAGTCTATCTTATAGTCTATGGCATCTCGAGAATTCTGTTCGATGAACGCCTGATGACTGTTATGCCCATGGCGGTGTACCTTGCAACAAAGGTAAAATTAGGTCCAGTTTTGGAAACTGATTCATCTGTTTCCTGAGTAGTAATTCATATGTTAACTTATTTAATAGTTTACAGATTTTTATACTAGTTTTTATTAAGCTCAATTTGAAATGCCATTCTCAGTTTGTTAGGTTTGTAAGATTTAGATAAAGAATTTTTCTGTTATATAAATTTTTACAACTAGTTTTATAGTTATTTGGCATTAGAATTATTGGACTGATAATTTTTATTGTTTTCTTTTTCAGTTCTGGTGTTATGTGACCTGGATATTGTACATTCATCCATACTCAGGCCTTGAATGCACGGCTCTGTTTCTTATCTCTTCGCTTATTCTGTGGTATAACTTCATGAGAGCATGGAGAGGAGATCCAGGAGTCATTACAGCTGATCAGGCACAGAAGTACCAAGTGAGATGAATAGATGACTTGTATGGAGTATGATTGATATTTGCTAATATACTCTTGTCAGTCTGGTCTTTGTCAGGAGAATTTTAATAGCAAATCTGGCATCTGTTTCTAACTCAGGTTTACTCAGACTTCTAACCAAATAGATTATTGAATTCATTTTTCATTCTAATTGAGATAGAAGTACATAACCTAAAGTAATTGCAAAATATAGTCGTAAATTATCATGTAAATGGTATTATCTCAGATACTAATTTTGTGTGTATGTGTATATATATAACTTTAGCTAATTGTGTTTGTAAGTATGCATATGTAATTAGAAATATTTATTTTTGTCATTTAAAAATCCAATAGCTTGAGGACAGCTCAGAGAAAATAATGTCTGCCAAGTGATGTGTGTGGTAGTCTCTGGCTATGGTTGTTGTAACTATTGCCAGAAAAAGCTTCTTTTAAAATGTATTATTTGCATTTTATTATTTCCAGACCATAATTGAACTAGCAGAGAGAGATGGGTTTGATCCCCAATGGTTTTGTTCAACTTGTCTGGTGCGACGTCCAATTCGTTCAAAACATTGCTCTGTTTGCAACCGCTGTATTGCAAAATTTGACCATCACTGCCCATGGGTTGGAAACTGCATAGGTAGATTTTAATTATATATCTATATATTTTGATATGTACATATTTTATGATGAATTATTTCACTGAAATTTATTTGTATATCAAATATTTGTTTTTTTTTTCTTCGTTTTTCTTCATCTCTCTTTTTTTCTTTCATTGCTGTGACTTATTTTGCGATATTTAGGTTTACTAAAGCTAACAAACCATTTCCATTTCCTCTTTCAGGGGCAAACAACCTGAAGTACTTCATTGGATACCTGGTAATGCTGTGTATGATGTGCTGCTTTGTCCTCCAGGGCTGCTTCTACTTCTGGAATGGTGCTTGCAACGTTTACATTTCCAAACAGGGGCTTTGGTCCAGTAAGTGACTCTTGAGTGATATGATATAGGGAAAGTGAAAGTGATGAAGGTGTAATGAAAATTTTGGTTTTGTTTGAGTTTGATTATCATAGTTGTTATTGCTGTTTATGGTGTTGGTGTTATTTTTGTTTTTTTTTTTTTATTATTATTTTATTATTGTTATTTTCATAATCATTATGGTGATGATGATTGTATTACTCTGATATTGTTATAGTGATAGTAATGCTGGTGTATCATCATCAGTTCATTGTTTGATTGACAGGCTTTGAGTTTTCAGATTGAAATAAAAGAAAGTGGTGACAATAATCCATTTCTTGTGCACATCACTTTTTTCAGCAGGTTGCCGAGTCCATGTCAAAGAATAATTTTTCCTTTGCCTAAAACAGGTCTTGGGTCAATAGCAACATGTGAACCCTGGGTGGCATGGGTTGGTGCCAATGCCATTTTGCATGCTGCTTGGGTCGCAACACTCCTTGGATGCCAGCTGTACCAGGTATATATTATTTTGTATATTACTGGAAGTCATTTTATAATGAGTTTATTAACACAAATTACAGTTAGATGAAAAACCTTTTAGATTATGAAAGTGTTAAGTAACAGCTACATGAAAAAAAAAATTAAGATGTAAAAGTGTTAACCCTTTGGATCCGGGTACTTTGCGTGGGTGCTCATATTCCAGATATTAGGCTTACTTGAGTATTGACTCTCTCATATGTAAGGCTAGTAGTCTTGGCCGTCATGACATTTTTGTGCGGTTTCAAGACTCCTTGCCAAACTTTGCAGTGTTGTTAACTCTTTTTCTGCAAAAATGTGTTTTGCTTTTTATGCTATTTTCCAAGATCTATATTTGTTATTTGATAAGCTATATCAAGATGGTAATTGACTATTTTCCTTCCGCAAACTTCGTATTATATCTCTAGATAGTCTATGACTCTGTGCAGTAATAATAAGAATATGTAATTTTTTTTTTTTTTTTTTTTTTTTTTTTTTTGCGTTTGATTTATTTTAATACACCCCTTGCCACCAATTACAGCAGGCAGGAATAGGATCCTGAGCATGGAAATAGTGTCCTCTCTGGAGCTGGTGCTCTTTTCAGCCACGGATCATGGATAGTACATTCACTCTATCAGAGGAAATAATGCAAGAATCACTTCCTAAATGCCCATAGAGTTTGATCTTAATCCAAGGACTTTGTGCAATCATATCAAATCATTCCTGTCACCCTGAACTTAGGCCAAAATTTTCATAATGCTACATTTACATCACCCGAGTCCATAGTCAAATTTTTCCATGACAGCATATTTCCATTACCCAGCCCCCAGCCAATTTTTTTGTGACATGATGGTCACATCACCTGGATCCAACGGGTTAAATAACAGTTAGATGGAAAGTCTTTCAAGATGTTAAAGTGTTGATGAGACTATTCATGAAAATTAATTTTTGTTAATAGATTTGTAATCGGTTTTCTTCTTATTTAAGGTCCTGATTTTGGGTATGACAACAAATGAAAGAATGAACTGTTACCGATACAAACATTTCCAGGTATGTACTTTTTATATATTTTTATATTTTTCTCTTTGTTTCCTGTTTATATGTTTCTTGTTTAAGAGAGGAAGAGAGTTCTGTGCCTGAAAGTTGGGATCAAGAAATTTAATATGAATGTAAGCAAAGAATTCCCTTCTTTACTTATTGGCACTGAGTAACTAAAACACCTGCAACCTGTATGTATGTTTTCCTTTCTTTTAATGTCTGTTCATGCAAACATGTTCTCAACTGACTCAATTCACAGTTTTATTATCTGATGATTTATTACAGGAATTACATCTTTTCCCATAGCTTGTTTATATTTTTTGTGTAAAAAAGAAAAAAAAATCCAATATTCGTTGGAAATGAAACTAAGGCAACTAAGCTTACCAGGAACTAGAAGGCAGGAAATGGCTCTTTGAAATTTAGGGTATGCTGCCAACAGGCATTATAATTATAGCTAATATATGCTTCCTTTTCCAATCAGTTCTCTAACCATCTTTCCTTTTACTCAGTCTACTCTGAAAGTTACATCTGATTCACCCATGATATTGCTTTATATAATATAACTTCACATAATCTATGCCAAACCATAGTGAATAAAAAGTACAAGATAATTATATTGCTCAAGAGATCTAAGATAGTATTATCAGTAAAGAAAAAAATATTTTTATTTACACAAACTTCTTCATTGATTCAGATTAGCTAATTCTAAAGTATACTTCAGAGGGCTGAATGGAAAAGAAAAAGTTTATTTCAGGAAAGCCCTAATTGATTGTAATGAAGAATACTTAAGGAAAATATTTATGCAGACATAACTTCAATATAACTAATGTTATCTTTGACAAAGGTTTGATGAGCTGATATAAAGTAGCATTTCCTTTTTTAGTAATGAAATATAACCCTGAACCATTCCCTAAAACTATGATATATTTTGAACTGTGACCTCTCAGTAATCACAACGATACATAAAGTAACAGTATGCAAAAAACACAAAATGGAAAATAGCTGAACTTGGGTATTGGAGGATAAAATTCAAGATAGAAATTTAATATCATGACATCAGTCAAATGTAAATACCATAGGGAATAATTACTACCTTTTCCTTAGTTCATTTGAAATGAAAAGGTGGTCTTACAGAATAATATATTAAGGACTTTTTGTAATTTCTATATTCTCCTGCAGGTTGGGAAGAAGGGTGAAGTGCGATCACCTTTCCACCGTGGAGTCTGGAAGAACTTCCAAGATTTACTTAACTGGCAATGCTTTGGTCTCCTCAAACCAGATAAAACAGACTGGCTTCACATATATACCCTCTCCGAGTCAGCTGAAGATAAACAACCACTTCTTTCTCAGTCAGACATGTATCAATATGTGTAAATTCTGACAGTCACACTGGAGAGTTATAAGTGAAATTTAAACTGATCTGACATACTGTCATTCTGCTTTTTATATCCATCCATTATTACATTTACTATTTCATATCTAGGAAGAAGTTAAATTACCATACCCTTATTCATTATCCGTTATAGGTGTGGTGCATGAATGGATTTTTCTGTTTGTTAACTTTCAGAAACTTTATATTTGAAGTATGATAGAAGAAAAGTAGATCTCTTTAGATGTGTCTGACGAATTAATCTTCTGTATGTATCTTCTATTATCTTGTTTGTACTTCTACCTACATACCAAACAAAGATAGTAACATTGCTATACAAATTTTTGTATTTTGACTTTGATTGATATAAATATATAGTAAATGTACTAAATGTAACATTCCATATAGAATGACAGTTTTCTCTGCCTCTCTATAACTAACTATTTACAGAAAAGAAGAGCAGATATAGAAGAGTTTCAGCTGTTACCAAGAACATTGTACCAAAGATCAGTCAGAAATTCAAGGTATTTTAAGGTATAGTCAACTAGTCACAAATATTCCATTATTTATATAACCCTTGGCCAGTTGTCTCTTTTTATATTTGTAAGATGTTGTGAGGACACCAAAGATGAGCTCCAGTGTATTGCATGCAGTGTGCAGCTTTCATTCATGGCTTGTTTGCTCAATTTGCATTTTTATAATTGTGTGATTTTATTTTATTATGTAAAGAATAGATTGATGTTAAATGTGTGAACAAAAGCAACCAGTCATGATGGATGAACTGATTGAAGGTTGACTGCAAGCGTTTTCAACAGTTGAATTGAGACATTGATTATTTGTGATAGGAAGTTGGGAATATTGACTATCATTTTCTATACTTTGTTCATTTTATGTGAGAGATACAAATTAATATGTTGTTTTGTAAAGTAGATGATGTGCAGCTTCATACTAATGGCTGAAATAAAGTATGTTCGTATATAGTACAGTACAATCATATCATATATTTTGAGTGATACACAATCTGTCTGATATCCCATTTTTTAGTGTAGGTAATGAGCAGTTATTAGCCATAACTCCAAACAAGGCATCTTATTTTGTAGGACAATCATTTGTATAGACTTCAACATGTCTTTTTTATGCCATTCTTGGAAATGGTTTATTTTTATTGGTAATTTTAGATAGCTGTATAGACTATACCAGGGCAAGATAATGCCTTTTTCCTTGTTTTATATAATGTTATACAGTATCTTTAGAGATTGTATTATTTTACATTTTCATCTATTTACAGCATTTGAAATACTTTCATCTTAATGAAAACATGAGAATGTCAGAAAGCCAAGGAGCTAAGTAAATGTACAGAATTTTGGGTATAATTTTCAAACTGGTAATGGATTCCTTTGATGTCAGGAAAGAATCCTCCTCATTTTCATAGCAAGGTGGCTTTTAAATGTTGCACATTCAATTGAAACAATATTTTTCTCTTCCATTTTATTATTCATTTTGCATTTAGCCCATTGGAATGGTATTTTAGACTGCTATTTAAGAGAAGTTCTATGAGCCGAGTATCAAAGGTTTAGTGTCCTTATTGTATACAACTATTACTGCAGCTTTTGAGATTTATTTGGCTACAAAGGCATATGATTTGATTAATAATTAACATCTTTCTGAACTGCAACAGTAAAAAGTGGAAATATATATTCTGTAAATAACTTGTATTTTAGAAATGTCAGTAGAACTGCAATTTCCAATCCTGAAATTTATCATGAGGTAAAAGGGAAGAGGTTATAGCACAAATTTTTAATGTAACGAGGCATTGATATTTATGAATGTAGTCATTTTGTAACACAAAGATATAACAATTTTATGTAAAAGATATATTATAGCCCATCTTTATATTGTACCAAAGGCAAATTATTGTAAAGCTTACTGCATTTGATTATTGAAAACATTTCCCATAATGAATGAGACGTTCACCGATTATTATCATTATTTATTTTTTTCCATTTAATATTGTTCCTATATTGATTATGTTTTTAGAAATGGTAGAAGAGAATGAACAAATCCAAATTTGTAGTCATACATCATCAATGAGGTGTTCATTTTGCAATGAGTCCTTGTCAGTTGTCTTGAACGCTTTAATGTCAAAGTTATGAGTCAGTTGAATTATGTGTTTGATATGAAAATTGCAGAATTAGAAGAATTTTTGCAATTTATGGAAAAGTACTTTCATTCTAGTTTGTTCATTCATTGTAAGCAGAAGTTTTTTATTGTTTTTTTTTTCAGAGAACAAGAGAACTTGATAGGTACTTTTTTCAGTAGATTTTACAGAAAGAAATATGAAATATTAATAACAATAAGGATATTTGAAAGTTTTTGTTTTGCCTGTTTGGTTTGCCATTTTCCCTGCAGCCTCATCATTGTAGAGAAAATTACGTCATTGTAGAGAGAATTATAATTTGAAAAATATGATTCTTTTTCAGTTTATTTCCAGATTTATTATCCAGCAGTTTCTTACGAAGTTTTCAGTTTATTCACATATTTGTCATGTAGCAATTCCTTTAGAAGTTTTCAGTTAATTTATTCAACAAGTTTAAAGTAGATGTAGAACTGCAAAGAACCCTTGCACAAGTTTATGATATAAATTTATTGGAGGGTGGATTGGAGCTGTGGAACATTCCAAAAACATGATTCCATTTTTATTCTAGAAAAATAAATTGTCACAACTACAAGTGTTTTGTGAATACAGTAATTCCCTATTATATTTTTTTGTAAGTATTGAAAAGTAATACCTTACAGTAGCTCTTTTTATTGTGTGGTTAGATAAAAAGGTTTTATTGGTTGTGATTTAGTTTCTGTTTTGTTTAACAGACATGTATTAGTCATCAGTCATGCATCAAAAGTGTTTGAACAAATGTGATTTATCAGTGTTATGTCATGCACATCCTTGCTCATAATGGCAAGGATGGTGCCTTTCTTCAAAGGACTTTTATAGGCAGGTACAGTTTGAAACAGTGTCTAGAAACAGGTAGCTTACACAGTTTCGGCGCCATTTGCTCATCAAGATTGCTTTAAATCTGTTTCTTTGATAAGTTGGGGTATATTCAATAACTCAAATGCATTTCATGAAGTGAAATTTGTCTGTGATGCACTATGTTCCTTGAGAGATATAATGGCAAATAAATTACTATGACTTGGTGTAATATTTTTATATGAGGCATTTGGCAACAATGACTAATGAAACTATCAGTACAGATGGACATGCAGGGATTAGTGGACCAGTATTGAAAAGGGCTCCCATAATATTGGATTTCTGTATCTTTGTATTGTTTGAAGAAAAATTTAGCTTCATGTTACAGACCTTCATGTTTTGTTCAGGCTATATATGACTGTGTAATGGTATTCAACTGTAATTGTTCAACATGATTTGCTCTCTTCATAAAATGCTTTCATTGTATTTAGTTGCTAAACATATTTGCATGCATGAAAGCTGACACACACAGGCTAGAGGAAACTTAAAATAATGCAACACAGGAATTGCCAATACCCATACATATATACTTACTACATGCACATGTGCTATCTGTTTCTTCCTTTCTCCCTCTTCCTCTCTCTCCCTTATACAAATACACACATATTTAGAAAGGAGAAACCATTATTAGTATTACAGTAATGCAGTTGCACATGTGGAGTGTTCTGTAATTGTTTCTATTTTCAATGCCTATACAATAAAATTGTGAGATACTTCAACCTTTTTGTATAGAATTTGTTTGCATTTTGTGTCTAAGCAGCACAACACAACTTAGACACTACATGGAATGAATTATGTGACTTCTGTCACACATGTTAACAAAAGGTAAATATTTTATAATGCAGTTAGTATTTTTATAGGGGATTATGCATGATGGAGGAACAATTAATTTTTACAACTTAGGAATGTTGTGAAATATGTAATAATACTCTTGTTCATGTTTAAATGATATCTTAATGTAAGTATTCTGCACTTTTCAAGATAATGATGGTCTGATTTTTAATAATAGAATAAATGCCCTTCTAAATGTAGTGTTATGACCTACCTAGCTGTGCTTTGACTTCAAAGTTGAACCAAAATGGTGTATGATGGTTACAAACAATAACTTCCATGTTCTGTATTGCTTATGTGTATGTCAGCTGGTGATTGTTTGCACAACAATATTACCCATATAAATGTAAATAGTTCTGTGACTCCTCATAAACTGCAGGTGTTTAAGATTTTGTACATAGTCATTATTTATTGCCAATGCTTCACATTCTCATATCAGTCATTCATTTTTATCAGTACTTTGATAGACTGTTCTAGTAATGAACAGCGGAAGCACTGGATCACACTATGCAATGTTTAAGTATGTTGATGTGGTAAGATTAGATACAGTAAGCTTAAGATAATAGTTATGCAAGGCTTTATGTACAGGCAATTTACTCATACACAGAACCTCCCTTAGCTTAATGGAGATATTAGAAATAATATTAGTATGAATATTGATCTGTAAAAATCTATAATTAGTTAACATTTACAGTATATCATTTCAAAAAGTCTAAACCCTATTATATCCCATAGAGGTAGTGTTAAGATACAGAATAAAAATCTTAACATGGAATTGATAATACCGAAAAGATCTGGTCTGTAAGATTAGTGACTTTCATGATTTTCATTTTGTAAGTGCCTTGACATGTATCAGTCTGGAATGTCCAGAAGATTCATAAGTAATGGAGCAATTAAAAATCAATGCCTTCATGATTATTTATCAAGTGCTTACGGATTATGATCTTGTCATAGTTGATGGTCTTTGTCCCCCAAACTTTATATTAGCCATCGTATCCTACCTCCACTCCCTCTGCTTTAAGGAAGTGATCAGTTGCACAAATGCTTATATTTTATTTGCAGTTTTCACTCTGAAATCAATGTCATATTTTTCCTCATGTACATAGCTATCAGTCATTCATCTTGTATTGGAACTTTAGGATAGTCAGTAAACTCACTTATGAAACTTGTCTTTTTCTTATCCTTAAACATGAAATTTTCTGTCCATAGTCAACTGTTGGGTTCCAGTGGAAACATGATGTTTAACCACACATTTGATACAAAAAAGAAATTATTCATAGTAAGTAATACGGTAACAGACCCTTACAAATATCCTAAGTTGACAAAAAATGAGTATGTAATTGGTTGATCTTGAAAATTAGCATTAGAATGGGAAAATAATTAAAACAAAGTTCAATCTCATCATATTTTCATTTACATTGTGTTATGTATCAGCAACATACCTCATATGTGCCTTATTTAAGAAGGAAACAAATTGCAATTCCCAATTTAAGCTACCCAATCTCAACAAGAATAAGTACACTTGACAAAATGTAAACCCAGAGAAGTATAATTTATATAATTTATTATAAGGGTACTAGAACATGATGATCCTCTTCAGTTCAATAATCCACATTCACATTTCGTAGATAACTGAAGGCAACAGTGGAATTCGTCTCTTAATGTCGTTTCCAAATTTGTAGACTGGCTGTAAATAAACGGCTGCCGATATTTTTTGGTTCATAAAAGGCAGTTTAATGTTCATTGATAAAGAAAACAAGATCTATCTTCACCATTTAATCTCATTTGTTTAATGATTTGGAAATTGCTAAAATGCAAAGGTGTATAGTGCAATTACACTTATGTTGGGATTACATAGACGGGCCGCAAAGAATTTATTTACACGTGTAGGCCATGCGGTATGAAAGGTGAATGAATATTTATATAATCAGTTCAGTTCAGTGAGATTTATGTGACCTGCCCTATGTCAGCTATATAGAGCTGTCTCAACTGATTCATCATTACTGAATACTTACCGGGGTGGCCGGATTGCCAAAAGGTGCTCATGCCTTCACGGTGTAAGCAAGAACTATAACCTTCTCACCAGCCTGGCAGCTGTGGTGGATGGGCTTTGTCTTAAAAAAAAAATGTACGATCGCACCTCTGTAGAACAGGGTGGCATCCAGCTCGCCACAGTACTTTCAGCACAGGAGTACTATCTGGTCGAGGGGGAGGTCCTCCCTGTATAACTGCAGGGCAGTGGCCTTCCCCTGTGACTCTGGTTCTTGGTTTAGCTGAATGACAATGGGATTTGGGGGCATACCCATGTCAATCTCATAAAAAAAAAGTTTATTTCCTCTAATGCCAATGTGGCTAGGGACTTAATTTATGACTATTCCATCCTGAGCAAGAATCCTCTGCATTACGGTATGCACAATGGTCAGGAGGTAGATATTGTCGCTGGGCATGCTGTGCTGTAGGCTATCAATGGCTGTCCTGAAATCTCTGTGTATAATAACCACGTGCTCTTTACTCCGGGACGCGTAGGTTAGAGCTCTCATGACCACAACAGCCTGTCTGGAGCGATAAAGGCTTATCTTTTACTATCATAGATGATATAATGACCCTTGCGGCAAAGCGGGTGCCTGCAGTGTGGCTTATGGGATCGATTGCTTCATCCGTGAAATATGTACAACTACTTGGAGGAGCGATGGCTGCAATCATCTCCTGTGATTCTGCCTTCAGTCTAGGCAGGGGGTACTGACAAGCTTATTAGTGATAACTTGATGAAGGTCTGTGCATATAGCGGGGAGTTAACAAAGCCAAGGAGGAGGAAGTCCATGCCCTTAATAACTGCTGTTTGAGCTGATACTGTATCAACACAGTGACTGCAGTGGACAGACAGGAATTATTTGCAAAGAGCTCGCAATTTACTTGCAGACGTCTAAGTACTTTCTGACTGAGATATATGTCCCATACCTAGATGATCTTGGCATAGAACTGTACCGCAAGTAGATCATTTCAGGCCAGAAGAAGGCTTTATGCGGAGGTCGAGAACCTTTGTAAACGTAGAGACCCAGAATGATTCTAGTAGCCTCATTTTGCACCATTTCAAAATTAGCTTTGAGTCTTGGCTTGACAGTGATCAAGAACACAGCAACATGTCCAAGATATTAGTATGCATGATATTAGTACTTTGTTTCCTCCTGTGTCTCCCAACCATTACCCTGGTTCGGTTTACCAGGTACTTGACCTCCTATCGAAAGAGAGGTCGACCTATACCCCAAAGTAATAGAAGACCTGAACCCACTCTAATTGAGACACAGTCCAGTAATGAAAGCATAAAAAAACAAACACCATCTTGGAAATGGCAGAAATTTCAAATATATACACACACACCCCTTATTCTGCTAAGATAAGGCAGTGGCAATGAAGCAAGTCGAATACAACAATCACGACTTTGTCATTTCTGTCCTGTTCAGTGACAACTTTCGTAAGCATATGAGGAAGCCATACGTATATGAGTCTTTAATTTGAGATTGTGTGTTTGTATATACCCTACGTTCTTGACTGCATGACATTTCTTTCAATAACCATACAAATTCATAGTTGTAACCTGGAGCATCTATCAATACTGCATAAGAAGTATATGATAAGTAATTTGACAATCAAGCGAATAATAAAAAGCAAAAATACTAATCAAGGCTGAAAAAAACGAGTATAAATTGACAAAGCTTACGAAATACAATTAAAGATAACAAATTTAGGTTACGAAAATAATAATGAATAACAGGAAATCAATCTTGGAACGTCCTGTACTACAAACATTCCTCGGACACAAGGACTAGACAACACTGGACTCTCCCTGAACTATGACGTTTGGCGGAGATGAATGCAAGACCATCCGCATAGAAGACGACCTTGATAACCTGGGAGACACCTGATGTTACGGTGTTGAACAGGGCTGGGCTAAGAACCCTACTCTTTGGCTTTCCATTTTCTAGTGGTAGGTGCTACGAGAGGTGCCAATTAAACCTGGCTCTGGTACTTCTGTTCCTGAAATAATCACTATCCAGGCAAAGGAACTGCCTCTGATTCCCCTCTGTATCTTGGTCTCCGGAATAGCAAGGGGACTTTCCAGTCAAAATGCATTTTCCAGATCTAGGAATGCTATCACAGATGTATCAGTGCTGGCAGTGCTGAAGAGGTTGATTTTGGCATGGCATCCATGTCAACCTTTCTCAAGAGAGCTGGACTCTCAAGAATTCTCTGTCTTTGAAAACGTTTCCTGAACATGTTAACTTTGTGGTTGACCTTCATTTCATCGTTATAGCAGCCAACGTCTTTGTGACTTCTAAACCAAGGTCGGGATTAAAGTAAGTGAGGCTGCCTGATTTATTGCATTTACTAATCTGTCCTCCAGCACATCCATGCTCTGAATCTGTGAGGGCTCTTTGCATCTGAGACACTCGGCCAAGACATTTTTAAAGGTTTGCCACTTGGCTTTACCTACCTTTCTTCTAGAATTACACTGGTATGAAGACAGCATTCAAGACGGTGGTACCAGTGCCATAGTGATTACTGATGATAGCCCCATCGACAAACCATCTGCTTCTCACCACCAGAGCCATAGTGGTGAAGGGCCTTCTCTGACATATGTTGGCTTATGGTCGTTGAGAAGAGCAATCTTAAGGCATGATTTAAGGATTGGTCTCCCCCTACTATCACAAAGTCCTTAATTGCAGGAGCGCAAACCTCGCTGATATTTAGCTCCTACAGTCTGGTCTACTTTACGCAAGCCTGCCTTCTGCCTTCTCAGCATCCTCACTCGTCCAGCCCTAAACTGTTGCTACTGCAGTGACTAAAGCTATCAGGATTTTGTGTTATTTGAACCCTTTCAAGACGTTCTTTTTGTGAACATTCAACAAGTGTTGAGAACACTTTTGTCGTTTTTCAACAACCTCCTATCGCCCGAGAGCCGCTTCCTTCCTGATAGAAACCAGGCTCAAGACTCAGCACAGTTGGAATATTTAGCTGCTATGGATCCTGTTGCCTTCCTTATGCGCCTGCGGCCGTATATCTGCCACTTGAAGCACCAAAGTGGCAAATGGGTCCTAATGCTATAGGAGCCCCAGTTTCCCAAGTCAAGAGAGGCGATTTAAAGCTTCCTTCACGATCACCAGGACTTACCTGGTTGGGGTCTTCCCTTTTGTCAAGCAACAAGCCCCAACAATATGGGGGTGTGATTTGATCACAACATCATTCATGACTACGGCTGTGTTATATTCACCATTTCATCATTTAGTTCCCTTGTTTCCTGCAGGACGCTCGGGGTAGTTTGATAATGAAAAGAAAATGATCATGCCCTTTTCTCTCGCAGATCTCCAATGCTCTAACCAATTGATATGTAGTGTTGGAGCATTCAGGTTTATAAAGAATCATAAATTCTGGTAAACACCTAGGTAATCTAGACTCCCTCGGACGGAGGTCGTTTTGGACCACCCCTCTAGCACAATCCCAGGGTTTTGGTCGTGGGAGCAACTGGTTTAGAGGGTCTAGTATGTGCTCTTATCTCGGTCAGGATTGATGTCTGGGTGGAAGCGTGCGGTTTCCTTTATTTAGCTGTAGGTTTGGAGAGGCCGGCCCGATAATTTGCTTCGAGAACACAATTTGGTTTGGTCTCTGGCATACTCATGCATGGCATCACTCAACCATCAGGACTCCCATCTCAGTGCACAAGGGTGCAACGCACGGCAAACTCATGGGTAGGTGAATCCCCGCGGAAGGAGGGGCAGGGGAGATGTGATCCCACCTACAGGAACAGCATCTATATAGGAACAATCTGGTAGTCATTCCCCAGTGAACTAACCAATGGAGTGACCACCTCAACAGAATGCAGAGGATGTCCATCCCAGGAGTTCGAACCCGCGCACCTCAACAAAGCTATTCGTATAGAACCAAATTCGAAATAAGTGTCTCTTTTCTCCACTTTTATTCCTAATCTTGTCCAGATTGCACAGCCTTTATCTCTGTATGGTCAGTACACCGCACCATTCCCATCTAAACCGCCGTCGCAAGCACTTCACTTTTTCAGTAGCTATTAAAAGGAGTTAGATCAGTCTTGCTGATTTGCCCTCCCTAATACCGCACTGTTCGGTGGTCGGATGCAAAGTTGATAGGCCTACT